TAACTGAGAATTAATTTTAGAAGCCAAATAGAAATGCAGCAAGATAGATAAGGCGTATGAATGTCTGGTGTGTCCCTCCAAAGAGATTGACTCTAAATATAAACTTATTTCCTTCTTTTGATATGGGCCCTTACCAGTTCTTCTTTCTCTCTCTTTTTTTTTTTTAATGTCTTGAATAAGAAAACTATTTTGTGATGTTGTTAAAATTTTACCAGGACAACTAGCAATGTTTTTAGATGTCAGCATTTTATTGGAAGTAAGGTGTACACAACAGCTACAACATGAGGCTGCAAGCTTGGAGCAAAGATAGTGTTCTTTATATGGTTGAGTTTATCTGGTCATTCAGTTTCTTGTAGTTTGCTTGCTGTGGTTGAAAGGGTTAGAGCAGGGACTTGGATCCACCACAGATAGCTTTCCTCTCTATTGTGTTTTGTGGACAATAGAAACAATATGACCCCTGAGGTAGCAGAAGTAGTTGCTTCGTTTTATTGTCTACAGGGCAGCTGTCAATGCTGATCCGCAAAACCGGGTTTGTAAAGATACTAAAAGTACTTTATTGCTTCCCACTGTAGGTTACTGTTGTGTTGGCCAGAGGAAAATTGGAAAATCTGCCTGTTCTAAGGTAGATACCTAAATATGATTTTCTCTGAAAATGTAATAGTCTCATTGTCCTTTGTGAGAAATGCGTGGAAATGTGTAACAACAGTAGATACTTAACACTTAGTGTTTATTTACAGGAAATTACTGTTGAATTTACTAAGAAATAAGGTGATTGAAAACACTTTTGACCTCGTGTCAAAACTTGATCATAATTGAGCAAACAATGGCTTAATCTAACTTGTCATTCTTGACACACTTCTTATGAAAAGCAGTTCAGTGAAAACAAGAAAGGTAATTCCTGTAAAGTCCTCCTAGACTTGCAAAGAAACATTGGGAAGCTATTCTGGCTTTGATTTCAAGAATACGTAGGAGCTTTGGCCTTAGTCCGTGCTCTTCCGCTAGGTGTAGAAGTCTAAGGAAGTAAGTGTTATTCTGCAAGAAACTTGACCTCAGGAACCTTGCATTACTTTAGGCATAAAATACTAATTTCTGTGGCTGTTTAAATCTTTCCAAATGTGAACCTGAACTGTCTTCTCAAGCCTGTGGGTGGCTCCAGTGCTGCTGCTGCTAACAGCTTTTCCAACTGCAGTAGAGGTAAATTGAGTGATGCTATTTGGAAACATGATGGCATTGCTCAAACTGGTAGCCAGCAGGGCTGCTTTTTTTTTTTTTCTTCATGATGCTTGAAGGAAAAAGTCTTGATGCATAAGTACAGAATTAATCCTTTGGTGAAATTCAATCTTATGTATGTGCACATGTGCCCAGATGTGTCTGTGCAGGTAAAAGTTGTATGAGAAAAGGCATGTTTTTAAAAAAGGAACATGAAAAACCCAGCCTTAAGAAGTGGGAAAGAAATGTGGTGAAGAGGGGAACAAAAAATGTTTGTTGTTTGAAGGACTCTTGTAGCCCACAAAGGGAGCTTTCTGGAAGGATGTTTACTTTGATGTGTTTATATCTCAGGGTAATTTCAAAGATGAAAATGTTGAACAAGATTTGATACTTCCAAGATTCTGAGCAAATGATAAGTTGCATTACTTCCATAATGATGAATCGCAACTTCATGTATGACTATCTTTTAAAAAATAACAATTTAAAAAAAACAACCCACAAACACATCCACCTGCCATATACAGAGCTGGGAATGCTACTAATTGTCTGTATAAGAGTGGTAAAGATGAGCTTAAGGAAACTCTTCATTTTAATAAATCATAAGCATAAAATAAATATTTTTCCCAACACTGAAGTCATGATACCATCATTCTCTTTCTTGTCTTTTTATTCTTAATACATGTAGAAAACCATAGATAATATAGACATAGTATCTGCAGTTTGTAAAATTCAAATGCTGTCGGTTGTCCACTTGCATTTCAAAGATAATGGTCTCTGTTAAGTTACTCTAAGCCTAGGTTGTAGCATCTTAGTATTCTCATATGTTCCTAGTTTCTGGGGTGTTAGGCTGTATTTGAGTCACCCTTATTTCCCCTAAATCAGTGGTGGGTAATGTTATTTGGGGTACCAATCTTGGCACCAGCAGTCAGCGGAGCTGGCACCATCACTGTAGACCTACACTGTCTGCCCCCACCCCTTAATTACAAGCAGTGTTTGCCATTTCTAGAGACTTGGGAATCAAGTCTGTACAAGATTCCTTAAATTCAAATGTTGCATGAAAAATAGAGTACTTTGAGTATGGTCTAAGAGCAGCATCACAACAGGGACCTCAGCTGATGGTATTAGTTCTTGTGCCTCACTTGTCAGTGCTTAGTAGGGTGAGTACCTTCATGGGTCTTCATCAAACTTCAGTCTTTTGTGAGTGGATGCAATTCTTTACAGATGAGAAACTAACATCAGCAGTTTGTGTCAAAGCCAACAACTTACCTCAGGCTGCCTTTGAACTGTTTTCAGTGTTCTTGATTGGACTGTTTGGGCATGCAGAAAGAATGAAAATAACGTACTACTTGGTTTGCTGTCTAACTAATGGATATTTGATGTTTCCAAGTCTTGTGAATTTGAAATTAATGTATTCGTAAAATCTAGGGGAGGTGATAGCAATAGATGAGCAGAGGAGATAGTGTGAGCAAGACAATGGAGAAGAATAAGCAGAGAAAGTGGAAAGACTGAGCTCCTACAGAAGGGCAAAAGGCATTAAAAATGGCAGCCCCTGCCAGTAGATTGAGCGGTGAGCACCCTGTCCAGTTTCAGAAAGGGCTGGTGGGTTTGTGGATGGTTTTTTTGGGGCTTTGTCTTGTTTTTCTGTGGGGTAGTAAGTCTTTAAACAGTTCTCGGAAGCATGTTAGGTAGGCCATTCCCATTTTTCTTAGTCATTGCTAGCTGTTTTTGTTATCCCGCTCCAACTCTGGGATTGCCAGTTCTCCCAGACCCAGTGGGAGCAGTGCTTAGCTGGTTAAACCGGGTTTTACCAGTCTGCTGTATCCAGAACCATTTGGTGTGTTTGCACCGTGTCCTGTATACCAAGCTCCAACAGTGAGGCGCAAGAACTCAGGGCCATTGAAACCTGGTACCTCGTTAGCCAAGTAGCTCAAACTGTGCTGTGCGAAAGTGCCTCCGACTGCTGATGGAGTGTTGTACCTGCGTGGTGTTGCCAGGACAAATGGAATAAATGGGCCAGTCAGGTTAACTTCTTCATTGATAATTGCAGATACAAATGAGGCAGCCTATTTCAATTAAAATCTGAATTGTGACTTCTGCAGTCCTTTATCGGATTCCTGTTACACCTTTTTCTGAACGGGAGCTACTTAAAGCTTTTTCTTTTAGAAGTTTACTTGTGGAGATAATTCTTCACTTGTTGACGAGATGTTTAGCCTGAGAAGCTCTTGCCAAAACTAAGACAGAATGAGAGCATCAGAAATAGGGAAGAAAATCAGTATTCATTAGCTGTTCAGCAAGCAAAATGTTTTGTTTCAAAGATGGCTTTGTGTGTGTAAACGTTACTGTTCTAATATATATGTGGTCTATTTTTTTAAAAGCTGGAGAGAAATCTAGTTTGGGGGTAGAGTTGAATCAATTTGTAATGCGAAGTAGTAACATTTGGTACTGAATGGAGGGAGAAAAAAAGCTGTTTGAATGAAATATAACCCAATTAAGTTGCACCAACACTTTGAGGAGACGTGAACCCTGAAAGAAACAAGCACTAATGTAGCACATCCTAACCATTGAAATTAGAGCACAAAATGTGGAGGGGGAAAAAACCTACAGCTCTTTGGGATCATAGGAACTCACTTTTTAAACCTAGTTGCAACTCCTGATGTTACAAAATTGGATAAAGTAAAGTTTACAGAGGTAATGATTGTGAGAATAAACACTCCTGCTATTCTCTATTATTATACAGGACTGGATTAAAAGTTAGGAGTACTTTTTGTTGTAGTGGCTGAGTTACTGTAACTGAAAAATGAAAAGTAAAGTAGCTTCCCCCCCCCCCCCCCCCCCCTAAGAGGCTCCCCCCCCCCCCCTTCTGTTCCTTAGTTAGTGGATTGCTTGCTTACCAGAGCGGGGAGGGGATTCAAGAGAACACTCGGCACTCCCTCTGGAAAGGCAGAAAATGTAGCAGCAGGATAGCAGGAGACTTCCTGCTAGTCGCTATGTATCTCCTGCTGCCTTTATGCCTGTTTTCAAGCCTTTGGCTCTGCTAGTTTTTCCTCCCTCATGCCATCTTCCCCTTTCTGAACGTTTGCTTGTTGTGGCACATTAAGTAGTGCACGTGTCTGCTCTTTTAAGCAGAAATGCAGGTATGTAAATATTGTCATAATGTTACTGTTTAATCTAGTTCCCTTAGAGGACCTTGTTTATTTCTGCAGTGCTACTGTTCACCAAAGAAATTAGACCACACTAAACTGTGGAGTCTGTTAAATGTGGCCTGTATGCATAATAGAGTAGCACAGGTACTGTAATCTATAGCTGTGTGTTCATGAATTAGTGGTAATCTGCATACAGTTAAAACAAGCAAAAGGAGGACGTTCACAAAAGTGTGAACTATGTAAGTTAGCATATAAATACAGTGGATCACAGTGGAAAACTGAAAGTGGGCCTTGGACCAGCTTCATTTACTGTACGCTTAATGAGCTACCAAGACAGCCTACACCACAAATGCTTCTTGTAGTCCTTCCCTTTAAACTTCTTTATAACTTCAAGTTCTGAAATATATAATGATTAGAAATCTATTTTGCCCATCCTTCCCCCTTCCCTAGGAATACGGAAAGTTCAGATGTGACATACAGAGACAGGAAATGTGTAACAAATGAGCCAGCCCTAATTCTCTGTAGCTATTCAGTATGAATGTTAATGCTACTTTTGAGTGTAAGTTTCTATTTGTGGTATTATACAGTTGTTTAGTGCAGCTATTGACAGTGAAGTCTAATCTTTGGGTTTTTTTCCTCCTTAGAGCACAACAATGGAAGAAACAGCTATATGGGAACAACACACAGTGACTCTTCACAGGGTAAGTTCGTACAATTGGTTGTGTGTGCCTAACGCAGGATACTGGTAGCTTTTGAAAACAATAGGAAAAAGCCAGATGTCAGGAAGTAAAAGAAAAGGAAACTGTCATATTCCTTTGTTTAAATTTAGAGGTGTTGTAAAAGCTCCATTTGATAGTAGCTCTGTTTGTTTGTTGGGTTTCAGAGATAAGCCTGTCTACAAATAACTGTGCCAGAAACAAAGCTTTAGATTACTTCTGTATGTAACTGAAAGTAGTTAGAAATCTGTTCATTAACGATTGTGCTGTAAGTATACCTTAAATGTTTTAAAACTTCATTTGCAGGGGCATAAAACAGTGTAGTTAAGTATGTATAAAGGTGTTCAAAACAGCCTTATTTGCTTGCCACTTTCTTAAGTTAGTGATTTTGGATGGTCAGAATGTGCACTTTACACAGAGGAACATGTGCTAGGAATCGGTGAATAGAAAGACAGCTTTTACATTTAGACTCACTCTTATTTGAGTTACTCTTAAATTGATTTCTGATGTAGCTATTGTGAAGCTGTACAAGAGAGGCAATAAGGAATGAGTTGCTGTGGTGGGTTGACCCTGGTGGGATGCCAAGTGCCCACCAAAGCTGCTCTATCACTCCCCTTCTCAACTAGACAGGGGAGAGAAGAAAAATATAACAAAAAGCTCGTGGGTCAAGATAAGGACAGGGAGAGGTCACTCAGCAATTACCCTCATGGGCAAAACAGGCTCGACTTGGGGAAAATCAGTTTAATTAATTACCAGTCAAATCAGAGTAGGATAATGAGAAATAAAACCAGATCTTAAAACATCTTCCCCCCCACCCCTCCCTTCTTCCCAGACTCAACTTCACTCCTGATTTTTTTTCTCTGCCTCCTCCCCCCAAGCAGCACAGGGGGACAAGGAATGGGGGTTGGGGTCAGTTCATCACATGTTATCTCTGCTGCTTCCTTCTCCCTCAAGGGGAGGACTCCTCACACTCTTCCTCTGCTCCAGTGTGGGGTCCCTCCCACAGGAGACAGTCTTCCATGAGTCCTTCCCAGGGGCTACAGTTCTTCATGAACTGCTCCAGTGTGGGTCCCCCGTGGGGTCACAAGTCCTGCCAGCAAACCTGCTCCAGCATGGGCTTCCCACGGGGTGGGGTCTGGCGTGGGGTCCTCCATGGGCTGCAGGTGGATATCTGCTCCACCGTGGGCCTCCATGGGCTGCAGGGGCACAGCTGCCTCACCATGGACTTCACCAGGGGCTGCAGGGGAATCTTTGCTCTGGTGCCTGGAGCACTTCCTCCCCCTCCTTCTTCACTGACCTTGGTGTCTTGCAGAGTTGTTCCTCTCACATATTCTCACTCCTCACTTCAGCTGCAGTTTTGTGTTCCTTTGTTTTTCTTCCTCTTCCCAAATATGTTATCACAGAGGCACTACCACCGTTGCTGATTGCCTAGCTTTGGCCAGCGGTGGGTCTGTCTTGGAGCCGGCTGGCATTGACCCTATCAGACATAGGGAAATCTTCTAGCAGCTTCTTACAGAAGCTACCCCTGTAGCCCCCCCGCTCCCAAAGCCCTGCCACGTAAACCCAATACAGTTGCTTAGGGAAAGTCAGAAGAAGATGCAGTGCCATTTCTGGCAGCCAGTATTAAAACAACCATGAGTTATGGCCCAAATAGCTGTGTTCATTTGTCCTAGTTTTGGCTGGGATAGAGTTAATTTTCTACCTAGTAGCAGGCATAGTGCTGTGTTTTGGGTTTTGCAGGAGAAGGATGTTGATAACACACTGATGTTTTCAGTTGTTGCTAAGTACTGCTTATGCTAGTCAAGGACTTTTCAGCTTCCCATGCTCTGCCAGGTACACAAGAAACTGGGAGGGGGCACAGCCAGGATAGTTGATCCAAACTGACCAAAGGGCTATTCTATACCATATGATGTCATGCTCAGTATATAAACTGGGGGGGGGGTTGGCCGGGGAGCAGCGACCGCTGCTCGGGACCTGCGTGGGGATT